AGTATTGGTAATTGTTGAGGCCCTTACATTACAGTGCAAACCCAGGTACTGGGACCTGGCCACGAGCACCCTCTTGTCTGCAAACAGGCAAGGGCCGGTGGAGAAGCGGAAGGCCACTTGCGTCAACCTCTGTGAAAGGTCTATATCGCAAAGACCTGCCGTCAGGTTTAGGGTTCAGGCTTTAAGGGTTTAGGGTTCAGGGGTTTAGGGGTTTAGGGTTTACAGGGGTCAGGTTTAGGGTTCAGGGTTCTATCTCGCAAAGACCTGGTGTCAGGTTTAGGCTTTAGGGAGTTTTAGGGCTTGGGGTTCTATATCGCAGAGACCTGGTGTCAGGAGTCATTCCCATTCCCAATCCGTCTTGCTTCCTATGTGCCCTCTAATTGCTTCGATGTGGGGCACTTGTGGTGAGTAGGGTTAGGTTTATCTAGGGCTCTGGTGGTATCAGGAGGTTCATAATGCAAGACAGAACCTGAAATTCAAGCGCTAGGGTTTAGGGTTTAGGGTTTAGGGTTTAGGGTTTAGGGATGCACACCCGACCTGCCGGCATCGTCTCGGGGGGAGACGGGAGGCTGATCCTTGCACGGAAGCGCAGGTCTTGCGCGTCCGGGTTGGGGCAGAAGTCGTTGCCCCAGTTGTCAGATTCGTGGCTAAAGTCTTCAGGACCGGAGGCCACCACCATCCCACGGGGAAGTGACTGCACCTGCTTGGGCTTGGATGCAAGCCAGCGCTCGGCGCTAAAAGACAACAGACAATACACAAAACTACGGTAGAAAGTTGCGAAAAAAGCGCTAAAGCCTAACTCGTACATCCTAAACCCTTCAAAGCAAAGTCAGGCACATCCCAGCAGATGATGTCAAAGTCCACTTGTTCGCAGGACCACTCGGAGGCGCCAGACCCACAAAAGACGTAGATGTATGCGTTTGCATGCTCGTCCTCAAAGGAACCCTAAGACTTAAAGCATCTCACCCTAAACTCTGAACCTTAAACCCTAAACCCTAAACCCTAAACCCTTCGAGTCCTCAAAGGATCTCCCAAATGGATAAACTCGCAGTTGAGAGTGGAACCCGTCGAGAGGACCCACCTGGGTGGTTGTCAAAATTATGGTCCTTTTTGGGTCCCTAAACCTAAACCCTAAACCCTAAACCCTAAACCGTAGTATTTAGGGTACCCCAAAAGGGACCATAATTTTGACAACTACCCACCTTTTCGCTCCAGATGTTGTCACCAACTCCAAAGTGCTTCCAGTCCTTTGTAGTTTGGGGTTTAGGGTTTAGGGTTTAGGGTTTAGGTTTAGGGTTTAGGGTTTAGGGTTTAGGGTTTAGGGCTTTGTAGTATGGGGCATGGGGGTTTAGACTTTGGGGTTTGGGGATTAGGGTTCGTAAAGGGCTTCCAGTCCTTTTGTAGTTTGGGGCATGGGGGTTTGGACTTTGGGGTTTGGGGTTTAGGGAAGGGATCTATAAGGGTGCTTCCAGTCCTTTGTAGTTTTGGGGCATGGGGGTTTGGAGTTTCGGGTTCAAGGTTTAGAGTTTTTTCGGGGTTTGGGGTTTAGGGTTCTTCAAGGGCTCCTTGAAGGGATCTATAAGGGTGCTTCCAGTCCTTTGTGGTTTGGGGTTTACGGTTGGTGCTTCCGATCCTTTGAGGTTTGGAGTTTCGGGTTTACCTTAAGAACCCAAAACCTACTTTTTGTAGGGTCCTTATAAATCCCATATTAGGGTTTGAAATAAGAACCTACAAAAAAGTGGGTTTGGGTTCTTAAGGTAAGGTTTGGAATGCTTCCAGTCCTTGGTGGTTTGGGGTATAGGGCTTAGGGTGCTTCCAATCCTTGGCTGTCTTCCAGAAAACACAGCTGTTGACCTCAACCTCACCCCAAGGCCTAAACCCGAAGCCCTAAACCCTAAAGCTCCACATCCCAAGCGCTACGTCAGTCTAACTCCTGAAGCCATGGAGCCCTAAACCCCACATCCGAAGCCTTAAATCCCACATCCGAAGCCCTAAACCACACATCCGAAGCCCTAAATCCCACATCAAAAGCCCTAAATCCCACATCCGAAGCCACAAGCCCTAAGCTAGTTGCCCGATCCGACATTCCTCGATCACGAGATCGATGTTGTGGTCCACCCGCCGTCCATTTGCCATGGCTCAAGCACGAGCCAAATTTAGGTCACAGCGGGGGGTCCGGAAAGTAAGGAGGGTTATAGCTTTTGTTGCAGAGGTCCTGTATAGGTGCTTGATAAGGAGCCACCCTGCGATTTCTTGTAGGTGTGTTTACCTAGCTACCCCAAAAGCTAAGACGGCCAAACTCAGCACTCTATTCATTGCTTGTGCTTTGGATAATATAGGGGCCTAAATAATTAGCATAGGGTTTTTGGGTATACTATACTATAACTATTATAACATGGAACTCCCACAAATGATGTAGTAATTATCAAGGCGCCCGTGTGTTACCTTCTTTCGGCTAGTAAGGGCTTTATGTTCGGAATTTTGGGTTTCAGGCATACGGATTTCATAGGGTTTAGGGTTCTGGGAGTAGGGTCTCAGGCTAAGGCTTAGGGATTTTATAGGGTTTAGGGTTCAGGGTGTAGGGTTTAAGGCTAAGGCTTAAGGATTATGGGGTTCAGGGTTCGCCTATCACCTCGATCCTAAACCAGTCAAAGGCCTTTCATAGAACACCCATATAGTACCTCGTAAAGAGACCCCATGTGGCAATCCAGAACAGAAAACCTAACCCCCTTTTAAACAATCCTGTAAGACCCTGACCTAGAACCTCATAGAGCCCCACAAGCCCCCAGAGAACTCTACTACGAACCCTAATAGTCTAGGGGTCTTCAGGATAACAGTTAGTATAGTCTTACTATGATTAGGAACCCTGAGGAATAATGTTGGTAATTATATAGGCTTCTGTAGTAGACCCTAAACCCTAAACCCTATGCTAAACCCCTAAACCCTAAACCCCTAAACACTATCTTAAACCCTAGACCCTAAACCCCTAAACACTATCTTAAATCTTAAACCCTAGACCCTAGACCCCAAACCCTTGTAGCAGACCCTCTACGAGGGAGCTTCGCAGCGTCCGGGCTGCTGCACAGCCAAAGCTCCGAGCCAAGAACGATTTGAGGGTCGAGGTCTTCGAGTTTGGGGTTGGAGGTTTTGGGGTTTTGGGGTTTTGGGTTTAGGGTTTAGGGTTTAGGGTTTAGGGTTTAGGGTTTAGGGTTTTGGGTTTTGGGTTTGGGTTTAGAGTGCTAGGGTTTTGGAGTTTGGGGGTTTGAGTTTAGAGGGCTAGGGTTTTGGGGTGTGGATGTTTGGGTTTAGAGTGCTTTGTGGTTTGGGGGTTTGGTGTTTTGGGTGCTTCGGGGTTTGCGGGGTAAACCCCTTTGTTCCTGCTTGAGGGTAGTTCTCTTAATTAGCTTATAGACAAGGGCCGTACTATGTTGGGGACCTAAACAAGGAACCCTCATTCAGAGAACTACCCATATCCCTTCAGCAGCCTTTACAGACCCCCTTTAAAGAACCCTACCCTAAATCCTAAACCCCAAACCCTCATAGAAACCTTCATAGATTCCCCTCTAAGGAACCCTAAACCCTAAACCGTACCCTAAACCCTGAACCCTTACACCTCATAAAAACCTTTGCAGATCCCCCTTTAAGGAACCCTAAACCCTAAACCCTTATAGAAACCTTCCTAGATAACCCTTTTAAACAAACCCCCTATAACAGGGACCCTAAGTTAGAGCCGCGGGCTTCGTCGAGGGTGGAACTCCTTGGGCCTCCCTGGAGGGCGAGGATGTCTCGGAGCTCCGAAATTTGAAAGCCCAGCAGCCCTCACGGCTTAAACTTAGGGTTTAGGGTTTCGGGTTTAGGGTTTAGGGTTTAGGGCTTAGGGCTTAGGGCTTAGGGTTTAGGGTTTGGGGTTTGGGGTTTAGGGTTTGGGGTTTGGGGTTTGTGGTTTAGGGATTAGGGGGTTTAGGGCTCAGGGGGTTTAGGGATTAGGGTTTACTGAGCGGCTTTAAACTCCTAGAACCCCAAACACCCCAAAATCCAAGAGCCTAAACCCCCAAACCCAAAAACTTAAAACCTACCGTGAAGCCCGAATCCCTGAACCCCACAGCCCAGTCGGTGTTTTTTGATGTACTGTTCAAGGTCTCTGGTGTCAACTTCTCGTCGATATCAAAGCTCCGAGTTTTTTCGGTGCTGTGGGCTTCAGCCCCAGCCGAATTAGGGTTTTGGGGTTTTGGGGTTTAGGGGTTTAGGGGTTTAGGGTTTAGGGTTTAGGCCCTAAGCCCTAAACCCTGAACCCTAAACCGTCCCCAGCCGGAGACCCACAAAAACCACTTTCCGTTCGTTTCTAAGTCGAACAATGAGGCTGGAGCCCAAAACCCTGAACTCTTAACCCAAAACACTAAAACTTAAACCTTAAACCCGAAACCCCAAACCCTAAAGCCTAACCCGGTTTAGGGTTTAGGGTAGAGGGTTCCTAAATCCCAAACCCAAACCTTAAAACCCTACACATCCCTCAGCCGTTAAACCCTGGAGCCCGCGAGATCCAGCCTTGGTCATCTGATTGCGGCCGCCAGCCCACCTGTCTTAGCTTAATATAGGGGCTTGTTTAGGGTTTAGGGTTCGGGCTTTAGGATTTAGGGTTTAATTGCCAATATATCTTTTGGGGGTTCCTGATTACAAATATATTATACTGGGCTCCAAAACCCAATTATCTTAGCTTAGAATAACAAGCAAGTGGGAAAAACGTCAGGATTGAGGATTTAGGTTTGAGGATCTCGGGTACTGGGATTATGTTCATGCTGAAACCCCAAGCCCAACCGAAATCCAGACGGCAAACAAGAACAAGTCCCTTCATCAGTTTTTCCCTGCAACATCTCAAAGCAGGGCCACGACGAACTTGGCAACATAACACTAGCAGTCACTTAACGCCAATGCCTCCATGTTAGTTTTGACAGTTTTGACATGCGAAGAATCGCCGCAAACCGCAAGAGCTGCAAGTGGCGCAATGGATCAGCAGCAGCTCCATCATGCCCACTACAAGCTACGCAGATCATGGTTTAGCGATGTGTTCAACCTTGTGCTTGTGAGACTCGTTCCATCATGTTTCGTCTCAGAGCGGTAGGATGATCATACTGAAAGCGCTAAGTTTGCTCAAAGTACTATTGCACTTAGTCCTCCTTCCCTACCGGCCACCTTGACAAAACCCTGAACTCTAAACCCCCTTCATTAATAGTTGGAACAGGGTTCTTGCTCCTTTATAGCATGCACATAATAATGATCCCTGAGGAATGATCTATAGATACTTATATATATGGGGTAAGCCCCTAAGCCCGAAACCCCTAAACCCTTCACCCCGAAACCCTAAACCCCTAAAGACTAAAGCCTAAAGGGCTTAAACCTCTGAGCCACAGAGTTCCCCATGTTCGCCAGGCCACAGGCCAGCGGACAGAAGCGGATGTGTCTGAACACCGCAGACGACCTTTGGATGTCAGGGGACAGCGCTAGCAGGGAGGAGGAGTAACGGCAGTAATGATAGTAGAAGAAGGTAGTAGTAGTAGTAGTAGTAGTAGTAGTAGTAGTAGTAGTAGTAGCAGTAGTAGTAGTGGTAGCAGTAGTAGTAGTAGTAGAAGAAGTAGCAGTAGTAACAAAGCAGCAGCAGCAAGCAGCAGTAACAGTAGTATTAGACTGCGGGGAGATCCTAAACTTTTGACTCCTCCACACGCCCAAACTCCGAAACTCTGTGGGTCCCAATCATCGAACCTGGGACCGCACAGTGGGCCGAAAAGCCTTCCGCACACTTTGAGTGCTGAATCCTCGACTCCAAACAACCCGGCGAATAGAAGAACCATGTAGACCGCCGACTCATGAAACCCCTATTCGTGACTAAGGGACATAAGGGCCTTTCAAGAAACGGATAAATCACCAGGAGTCTACACTGAAGGTTTCGTCCTGAACTCCGTAACTTTGCCAAGATCTGAAGACTCGAACCCTCACCCTTCAAGTAAGCCCTAAACCCTAAACCCAAACCCTTAAACCCCCCAAACCCTAAACCCTATACCCTACGCCCTGAACGCAGAAACCCAAACCCAAACATCCCGAACACCCCGACTTAGCTACCCATAGGCCCCATAGTAGTTCCTTTGAGGGATTACCTTATAGGATTCTGTATATGAACCCCCAAAAAATGAACTACTTTAGGGCCTATGGGTAGGTTTCCCAGCTGCTCGGTACTATAACCTCCAACACCTAACTCCAAACAGCAAGGGTGATTTTTGGGGCACGGCGATTCTATGGGTTCTCATAATGTGTACTTTTAAGGAATTCTAGTAGGAGGAATCCTATGGGTACTTCAGGGGTTGTTTGCCTGAATTTCCGCCAACAGCCTAACACTCTGAAAGCCTAAACCCCAAACCCACGGCCTACATCCTAACATCCACAAACCGAAAGCCCCAAACCGAAAAGCCCCAAAGACCCAAATCCTAAAAGCCCCAAAGCCCAAGACCCTGAAAGCCCCAAAGGCCTAAACCCTGAAGCCCGAAACCCGAAAACCCTACACCCACCAACCCGAAACAAACACAAACCGGAACCCTAAACCCTAAACCCTAAAACCCTAAACCCCCTAAACCCTAAACCTAAAACCCTAAACCCCCAAAGCCCTAAACCCTAAACCCTAAACCCCCTAATCCCGAAACCGTAGACCCTAAACCCCCTAAAACCTAAACCCTAAACCCTAAAACCCCTAAAACCTAAACCCTAAACCCTAAAACCCCTAAACCCCCTAAACCGTAAACCTAAAACCCTAAACAACCCTAAACCCTAAACCCTAACCCCCCTAAACCCTAAACCTAAAACCCTAAACCCTAAACCCAAAACCCCCTAGACCCTAAACCTTAAAACAGTAAACCCCCTAAACCCGAAACCCTAAACATGGCAGCTGCTGGGACGCCACACCCAGGCCGCCAAGGAGGCCAAGTGCCTTCTCTTTCGAGGGCAGATAGGGTTTAGGGTTTAGGGTTTAGTGTTTAGGGTTTACGGTTTAGGGGGTTTAGTGTTTAGGGTTTAGGGTTTAGGATTTAGGGTTTGGGATTTAAGGATTATCTTAAGATTTAGGGATTTTGTTTTAAAGGTTTCTGGGCTTC